ACCAGCGATGGGAAAAATCAGCTCCCCCGAATCAACGCCTCCAAATTCAAAAAAAAAAGTACAAGAATTACGTTCAACAATTCATCCGCATTTTCCCCACCGACCTCGGCTCCGGATAGTTAACGAGCAATCCCACCTAATCCTTCTCGAGTTATCCCAGACGAACAAATCCAGAGACTCAAAATCCCTCATACACTCCTCCCCTCGGAACGACGGCCCAGAACTTCTCTCCACCACCTCCCCCAATGCCCCTCCAAGAAATCCCTATTATATATACACGTATGTATAAAGATTCTGGATAGGGTAGATCTGAAGTAACCCCAGAGGGTGGTGGAAGAGCGGGATCTGGCACCGACAATCGGCGTACAAGAGAGGGGGTTGGAGTACAGATACAGAGAGGTGGAGATAGAGATAGAGAGATCAAAAGGGACGTTTAGAGAGAGAAAGAGAGAAGGGGAATGTTTAAAAAATGTGAGTGTATATATATAACAGCTGGAAATGGCAGAAAGATAGATGACGATACAAGGTAAGTACTCCGTATTCCATACGTATTTATCTACTTTTTCCTTGTGACGTCTTTATCCGGATTTGTACGGAGATTAAATTAAATCTTCTCATGCCATTTGCATATCACTAATTAACTTCCGAGTAGTTTTTAATTAGCGATAGGAATAGGATTTGAAATTGTATTTTGATCTCATATTTTTGATAAATGGAAGCTAATTCAATCCATTAAGGATAGAGAAGATTTTCATTCCATGAAATATTCCTTCAATATACTAAAACTTTTGACTTACCAGTACTATTTAAGATTCCCACGCGTCTAACATGTTTTCTTTTGAATGGTTTACGGTTTCAGATCATATCAGATCGGACCAGATGAGACTTTCGTAATTATAAAATACATATAGATCAGACATTTACCAGACTAGATCAAATCAGTTCAGACTAGATCAGACCAGCAAATTTCAATCCAAAAGAAAACATTCTTACTCTTTGATTTTGAGTAATAATAATTTTCACTATAGACAAACTTCATTTTGCAGTTCAATACACTTTCGATGTACTCGGTAGCTATGCTAGTATTATACAGTTCATAAATAATACAATGATATGTAGGTCATGTATAATATAAATTACAAGTATATGAGATACGATTAAATATATGTTTATACGTTCGTGAAATAGATAAATATGCGGACGTGTTTTACAATTTAAACATTTCACACTTTAAAAGTACAACATATAATACGTGTCTTATATACTAATTTTATGATAGAAAGTAAGAGTAATTTAACAAATGCCGCACATTGTTGAACAATTTCAAATGATATTGCCTATTTGAGTAGAAATATAGAGATATTATTACTATGAGAAGAGTTGATTTTTTTTAATATGAGAACAGTTGATTTTTTTAAAATGAGAAGAGTTGATATTAATATGACCGTGAGTTTGTTGAAGTGCCACAATATTCTTTTCTCTTTGGAGTCTTGCTTTGGTGGAGCACAATAGTAACACAATAGTAATATCTAAACGGATTGTGACTTTAAATTAAGGAACTAATTATTAAATTTAATGACTATTAAATAAGAGAAAAGAGTCAAATAAGGTCTTCTATTATTATAAAATAGTCACATAAGGTCATGTACTCAATAAAGTGTCATATAAGTATTTCTACTTGTAAAAAACAATCAAATGAGTCATAACGATCTATTTACAACCTCCTAATCCCGGTTTAGCTTACATGTCGATTTTTTTTACTTGTATTTCAACCAATCTTAGTTAAATATTCGACGCATGCCGTATAATCTATTCTAAAAAGATGGTCACAAGTACGCTAAAACCGGGATTAAGAGGTGTTAAATAGGTCATTAGGACCTATTTGATTGCTTTTTACAAGTACAGGTACTTATATGACATTTTACTGAGTACATGGCCTTATGTGACTATTTCATAATAGTAGAAGGCCTTATTTGACCCTTTTCTCATTAAATAACTAACAAACATATAAGACATAATTCCTTTTTAAGAAATATAAATAGTATTGAGCAACTACATATTTTGCTTCAATTGTATCACTTCATTATGCTTCAGTTTCATGGTATGTGTTTTGAATAAAATACGTATTAATACGTACGGTATGTGTATTATATATTGTATTCTTAAAGTACGATGATTTTTCATAATGTTCTAAAAAAATTCATAAACGGGAACATTATACGTGAATTTATATGTTAGTGTGTATTATACGTGAATTGTACTTGAAAAGACTAACAAAGCTCCGTAGTATTCAAATATACATCGCGACCGTTTAAGAGGTTAGAGTTTTTTATAGCTAAATTGGTTGGTTTATATAGATAACAATTTTAGCTACCTTTTCACGTTATTTTTCCTTAATTTTATTAATAAAGTATATTTTAAATAATTTTTTGAATGATTCATGCATTCTGCCACTTCAACCAGAATTTCATGAATTTCAACGGATTCAATCGATTCAACCAATTTCAATATCATCAAAGGGTCCTTGTCAAGAATACATCTAATAAGCTAAGTGAATGTCATTATGATGGTGATGAAATGCAAATTAATTGTGTATATGTGACTCAAAAATCGTTTTTTTTATGAATTTTGGTTGTGTAATATGTGTACTTGGAAGCTCATGAGGACAGATTAATTATTATACTAGCATTAAAAGTGTGCCTTTATTTGTAGTCTAGGGAAATGTCATCAAGTATGATTTTGATGGATTTTTAAAGATTATGAATTTTGAAATCCGAGGGGTGCCTACAAGATTTTTGATGGGATGTTATGCATGTATAAATCCATCAAAATCCATCAAATCCACCAAAATGAGTAATAATAGAAATTCACGGAATGTTTGAGAATTTCATTATTCACATGGATTTCACATAAATCTAAATCAGGGACACTTAAATTCTGACGGAATTCTAAACTCCATTAAAATCCCCCAAAATCCATATTGGGGACACCCCTAACTTTGTATTACATAAAAATAATTATTTTTTTATCACTGCTTTCTTAATTTCAGAATTACAAACTAATTGTCTTCATTGTTCTCCTGAGTCTCGAACAAAACATGCCTTTTATTGTTTACTACTTGGTTATGTCTCCCATGTGAATTACTCAATATATATTAACGCTCACATGTTTGGTTCTGATTGGACTTGCTATATTTTTAGAAAAATTTCATGCTTATTTACACCAGTGTGCGCAAATCAAGTACATCATCAACCACAATATCAAAAGTGGTATGAAATCAAGATGTTCATGGTGAAAAACTATTGGGTGCAAGTTGAGGCAAGGGGAGGCGTATGGGGGGGGTTAGAGGTGGTGAATCAAGTAGACTGGTCGTGGAGTGATTGTTGGGAGGAGGGAGAGGCTAGTTAGAAGCAATTGTAGTGTTAACAGTTGTTACCAAAAAATAGATCAGTGGTCACTAGGAGAGTGGCATTGAGTCATTATGAAGGCGAATTAAGTCCTTGGGGCAGTGGTAGTCACTGACGGTCACTAGGTGGCGCCATAAGTCATTGGCTATGATGATCACTTTCTTGTGGTTTAGATTGCTAACCGGTTTAGATTACTATATTTTAAATTGTATAAATGTCTCATTAGTTATTTTCCCATTGCTTAATTTTTAGTATTATATTTATACTCCTAAATTATATAGTGTACATATGGTTTGTGAAAATAATGGATGGCATGTGTAAATCAATCTTCATATTGAAAAAATAATTTCATCTTGAATAGAAACATTATTATTGACGAGATGGTTTGCTATCAGAACTTTATTGATATAGAAAAAAATTAATCGTACACAAAAAGTGTGAACTTTTTGTACACACTTCCGATAGTTGATTGTGTGTTATGACAGCTCATTTAGAAAAAAATCGGTAATCGTCTGCAATTGCATATATACACAGACAAGTGCAGAAATAAGTGTACATTTTTTTTATAAACCAAAGAATTACTCATTGATGTATAATCATAAATTCTATAGAGGGTGTAGACATCATGGCTCTCTAATAATTTTGAGCGGCCATGTAAAAAATATTAATTTAAAGTCTCATACTATAAATATAAGTGTAAAATTACATTATACTCCATATGCAGTAAAATATACATAGTTCAATAAAATTATTTTTTTTTTGTATATTTTCAAGCTATCAATTCATTAATGCTATGAAATGAAAATTTGATCAACAAATATTTGAGTTTACTTTTAGGACAATCTTGGATTTAGACTTAACGATGTCATTTCCTATTTTCAAATATCTGATCGTATGCTCTACATCATATTGCTCCGTATAATTCTAGTATATACTACTAAACAATGAAAGCAGTGGGACCACAATACTTGGTGGACTCAATTACATACCGTATAAAACCGGTACAACATGTTGTGTCTTGGTCTTTTGAAGTTCTACATGCAACTTGGTGAGTAAATCTATTTTCGTCATAAAATATTCAATTAGTGGTGTATAAGGAGTTTGTCATGTAAGATTTGCAACATATGAAAGTAAAACAAATTGAAGCAAAGTAAAAATCCAATCTCTGACTCAATGATTTGAACGGACAAATGGACTCATGATTTAAAGCTCTAATTTCTAGAGTATGGCGCCACCTAGTGACCATCTAGTGATTTAAAGCTCTAATTTCCAGAGTGGTAATAAATGAAATTAGAATAAAAAGGAGGTAGTTTTGTATCGTACAGTTAATCAATACGGTATGTGTAATAACTTACCGTTAATTAATGAAATACGGAATATGAATAAATATGTAGTCTTATACATTGCATATACGAAGTATATATATAAAGATTAAAGATGAAATATAACTCCACACTCCACGCCCTCAATGCGGGATTTGTCCATTTCTCTTTGACTATAAAGTTTAAATTAGACTTTCTTTTGAATGTGTCATCTCGCAAAGGATACGGAGTATCTTCAAGCAAGTGTGAAACTTCAACTAAATATGGACAATTTGTTTTAATTTTTATTTTCCTTTACTCCTTTTTTTTAAATGTAAATTATATTACCACCCAAGCAAAATTTAACAAGTACAATGTGTCCAAAAATCAAAAGCCCCCCTCCCCCTCCTATTTCGTGAGAAAAGGAAAGGGTGAGAAAAGGCTAATAGTCTAGTCTAAGTCAATCTCGACCTATACGCAAAAATATGCGGCCAATAAGTCAAAAATCAAAACTATAATGGTGCTACAAGGTGCACGCACACAAATCCGGTATATATAGAGGCTAAGCCGTAGCTTCCCAAAAAGTCCTTAGCTCCACTTCAAAAGTTGATCCAGTCATGTGGGTAGATACTGGACAGTATCTTGTAGACCACATGCTTGATCTTAGCAACCACGTCATCTTTCGTCTTCTTCCCTTCATCAAATCTCGCCTCATTTCGCGCTTGCCAAATGTAGTAGGCCACGACACATAATGCAAGCCGCCCAGTCTTGGCTTTCAAGGTTGCTCCTTTGTGCGTCTTGGTGATCCACTTGATTGCACTTAGGAGCGTAGTCATGTGATGCCCGAGTCCAATCCATGCTTTAATTCTATCCCATACCCTGCAAGAAAATGGACATTGGAAAAATAGGTGTGGAATTGTCTCCAATCCACCCTTGCATAAGTCACACCTATTAACTATATGTAGGTAACCGAGGTTATCCTTGGTAGGAAGCCTGTTTCTCAATGCCAACCAAACGTTGAATGAGAATTTTGGAGGGATATATGATTTCCAAATGAAACTCATTGGAGTCCTCAGGTTCCCCTTAACTCTAAGGAGTTCGTAAACCTTGCCGGAAATTAATTTCCCATTGATGCACCTAGCATTTAGTCCCATGATGGTTTCATTTGAATTATTAAAACACCCTCGAATTTTGTCTCGAATTAGGCCCAACCTCTTCATAAGTTGCGAGTCCCGGCCATGTGGGATAAACTCCCACACACTTTCACCCCGAAGGTAAACGCCATTCACCCAACGGACCCACAAGGTGTCCTTCTTTTTGTGTACGTCCCAAAGAGTGCGCGAAAGGAGGCTATCATTCCAGGTCTTAGCATTGTGTATGCCGAGCCCGCCTTCCTCTTTTGGGAGACAAATGTCGTCCCAAGCTACTTTCGCAAACTTGCCCCCCCACAAAAAATTCTACAAATGGACACTATCCTGTCCAAAATGGTTTGGGGAACCGGAAAAATTTGGAGCCAAAACGATTGGACCCCTTGGATCACCGGTCGTATTAGCTCGATTTTCCCGGCATAGGATAATGTTTTCGTATTCCATGCTTTCAAAAAATCATTTACCGTATCAAGTAAGGGCGTATATTGTGCAACCGAGATCTTAAGAGGGGCAAGAGGAATTCCAAGGTACCTTACCAGGAATGTTCCTTGCCCATAGTCAACCAAGTCCAAAATATTTTGAAGCTCAAAGTCTCTCACCCCACCAACAAAAATCTTAGATTTATCGTGGTTCACCCGAAGGCCCGATGCATCCCCAAACTCTTTGAAAGCGTTGACCAATATTTCTATAGAATACTTGTCACCTCTCGAGAAGAGCATAAGGTCATCCGCATAGGCCAAATGTGTGATGCCCAAAGAAGAGCATTGCGGGTGGAAATTGAAATTATTCCCTTTTTCCCTCAAGGTGAGTAATCGGGAAAAATACTCAAGACACAGTACAAATAGCAAAGGGGACATTGGATCCCCTTGCCTTATACCCCGTTTGTCTTTAAAAAAACCGTACAACGACCCATTCAAGGAAACCAAGAATGAGGCCGTAGATACACACTCCATAATCCATGCAACAAAACGAGGAAAACCCAAACCCCCAAGGACTTTTTCGAGAAAGTCCCAAGAAATCGTGTCGTAGGCCTTACACAAATCTACCATAATCATGCACCTTGGTGAGATTCGCTTCCTCTAACAAGTTCCTGGGCAAGGAAAATGTTATCAAACATTAGGCGGCCATCCACAAACGCTCCTTGGGCTTGATTAACCAACCCCGAGAGGCATGGGGTTAATCTAGCCGCAATAATTTTTGTGATAATCTTATATAAAACATTCGTGCAAGAAATGGGTCTATAGTCCGAAACCTTAGGGGAGTGATTAGTCTTAGGGATAAGTGCTATGACAGTATGATTAATCTGTTTAAGCAGCTTACCCGTCCGAAAAACTCCTTTGTTGCTTGGACTATGTCATCCCCAACCAAATTCCAATTAGCCTTAAAGAAGGCCGAGGTAAAACCGTCCGGCCCCGGTGCCTTGTCATCTCCAATATCAAACAAGGTATCTTTAATTTCCTTATTTGTTATTGGAGCAAGTAGGCCATCATGAACACTTGGTTCAATCAAAGGGCCGGTGCCTAAGACCAATGGGTCAAGGCCACGGTTCACCGAGCTAGTGCCAAACAAATCCACAAAAAATTTTACAAATTCATCACCCACTTGATCCAACGAAGTGGTGAGGCTACCGTCGTCTAACGAAATAGAAGATATAGCATTACGAGTAACATTTCTCTTGACCATAGCATGAAAGTATCTTGTGCCATTGTCTGCTTCAAGAATATGTGTGGCCTTGGCTTTTTGTTGGTAGAAGCTTGTCTCGGCCTCTCCCAAAAACGTAGCACGTTTCCTAGCCTCAGTCACTTGCAATTTGAGTCCATCGTCAAGAGGCAACTCAAGCCACAATTTGTTTAATATTTTAAAGTCCTCCTTAGCTCTCTTTGCTTTCAATGATATATTGCCATAATCCAATGTTCTCTTTTAAGCTTTCTCACAATTGAATATTGAGATGTACCCTGAAAAAATTGACTCCAACCTTGTACAACAATATTAGTAAAGTCCTTGTGCTTAATCCACATGTTAAAAAATTTAAAGGGTTTCGGCCTAAGAGAGGAATTATTGAGTATTGATACAACGGAAGCCGTATGATCAAACTCAACCTCCATTTCCTGGAAATGGGCCTTACAACTAATATCAAGTTGCCCCCAAACATCGTTTAAAAGAACACGGTCAAGTTTAGCCCGAAGGGCACCCCTATTCCACGTAAAAAACTCTCCCGTGGATGGGGCATCCTCAAGACTAGCTCTAATTTTAAAATCAAACAAATCCTTCATCATGTAGGCCGTAGGGGGGCTCGGCCCAACCCCTTCATTTGGAGCGCAAATGCAATTAAAGTCACCTGCTATAAGCCAAGGCTCCCTAATTTGGTCACCTAGTATAGCAACTTCATCCCATAACGCTCGACGCTCCAACACGGTATACAATGCATACACAAACGTCACTTGAAAACACATTTGTGTTGTTCGGCACACACACCTAATATGAAAATATTGTTCATGCACCGCAATAACAACACAATCTAAAAAACACGGATTCCACATAATTGCCATTCGGCCACCATTAATTTTATCAAAATTAGTTTCTAAAAGCCAACCGGGCCATTTATTAGAAACAAAATTATTAAAACTATCTTTTGTCATTTTCGTTTCCAAGAAACATCAAAGATTCACACAATTTAATTTAATAAAACTAGTAATAAATTTATGCTTGGAAGGTTTATTCAAACCTCGCACATTCCAAGTGAGCAACTTTAACATGAAAAATCATCATAGGACGAGGACTCATCACTTGAGTTTACCCCCTCTTTTGCTTTTCCTTTGAGTATTCGACGTTCCCAACGAATCTTTTCCTTGTAATACCTCCTGTTCTCCTTGGAGTTTTGATCAAAAAAAGAAAAGACATTAGAAGGAAAAAGCTTGGGATCGAAACCACACCATGTGAGGTTTCGGGTAACCCCCAGAAGATTCATAATGCCACTATGAGTGAAATAAACACTCGGTGCATCCTCATTGGTGACTGGTTTGTAATCGACACCCACTTTGATCACCGTTTCCCATTTTGGAAGTTCCTCCGGTTGAATGATAGTGGCAAATCTCTTTCCTTTTTCATCCGTAAAGACTCCGGTAACAATGTCCTTGTAATGCATCTCATACATGCTATAAACTAATTCACCCGGCGGTAGATCCTCACACACATCCTTGCCAAACCTATTCTTTGTGATTGTCATTTGATTAGTTCTCAGCCTAGAACCCTTCCCATGATGCGTCGGTTTAGGAGAGTTCTTTGACAGTAGAACAATAGGTAGCATGTTGACTGTCAAGCTATCTTTGGCAGCATCTTTTGAGGGCCTGACAGTTTGTACAGAGGGTCCAAGAGAGGTACTGGGAGCGGCAATGAGTTTGTGGGCAAGTACCTGGGGCTCCTTTGAAGTAACAGACAACTTAGGAGCAATTTTGAGGCCTTCCTTTGGATGTGGGCCCACTGGTTGCGACTGGGCAGTCCCCTGCTTAGCCACGGGCTGCCTCCCTTTAGGTTGCACCTTCGGATTAAGAGCTTTGAACTGAGTTTTTTTCTTTTGCACCCACTTTTGAAGCTTTGGAGCCTTGAGTGCCCTACCACCTTTATCCCCCTCCTTGTCAAAGACCACAAGTTCATTCCCACCTTTTGGTTGGTCAACAATATCCTTCATTGTTGTTGTTTTACATGTGAAGTGATGATGACCTTAAACCTTGCAATGACAACAAAAGTTAGGAAAAGTTTCATAAATAACAAATTGGTTCCTTACCTTGCCCGAAGGGAGCATCATAGGTATCTCCAAGATAGGCGGCTTTGAAACATCAATCTCCACAAGCACTCTAGCAAAGTTAGGCCTAGCTTTGTCTTGAGTGACCTTGTCCGCAATGATGGGCAGTCCCACCCTCGAGGCAAGCTTGCTCATCTCCTCCTTGTTCCATAGCCTAACCGAGAGTCCCGAAAATTTTATCCAAATTGGTACCTTTAGGAATTCCGCATCATGTATGTAACACCCCCAAATTTCCCACCCAAAAATACATTTGAATAATGATTTATTCAAAGTAAATAATGATTTATTCGAAAACATAAGAGTCTTGCAGCGGAAAATTCAAAGGGAAACTGGGGCGTTACCGCCACACTCGGCTCTCACATAACCGAGTGCACAGGCTATCCACCACCAACATGTTAAAATTTTTCCATAATTAACTGTTCAACTACAATTCTTTAAGATTAAGACTAAAATAAATTACTCAATCACTTTAGTCTATGTGTTCTAGCGGAAGCTCTCGAAATCAACTTCAATATGATCCTCAATTCCTGCACAAATAAAGTATAGAAAGAAAAACACGAAGAAACAAAAATTAGCTGGAAATAATCATGTTTGATACATATATATCATTTTGTGAAAACATTTGGGAGGAAACCTCATGAAACATTTTATACAAACTTCTCATCACAAAATCACATGTAAAATAATAATATTCCAAATCATAATAATTCTAAAAGGTCAATATACATAAACCACCAAAATCCTCGTAATTATATTCCAAAACATAAATCATATGTAAAGCCCAAATATTCATCTCAAAATACTTCCAAATTCTCATAATCAATATGATGAAAACGGTTAGCAACACAAGAGGGGGGGTGAATTGTGTGTGTGTGGAACCGTGGCAGTTTTTCGCACAGTTCTAGTGTGGGGAGATGGGAGTTGCGAAATAGTAAAGTGCACAAGGATTTAACGAGGAAAAATCCCTTGGCTCAAAGGGATTAAAAAACCTCGACCTCCCTCGGAGGAATTTTAACAACTTCACTAAATAGCCTTTGAATGATTACAAGGGAAACTCTCCTAGTCTACCCTTGAGCCACCCCAACTCTATCCTCTCTAGGAAGAGTTACGCTTCTCTACCTTGCGGGTAGAGAGCCTCTCAGCTTTACAACAAAGCTCTCACTCACACAAATCAACCCGAGGAGGCTGCTCTTAGCCAATCCTCAAAACCCCATTACAATACGAAGAAGGGAAAGAAGAAACTATATCTAGAACTCCGAGTGAGCAGTTTCAGGTGCCTTGAGCTTCAGTAATTCTTTTATGAATATATCTCTCAATGTCTATCTCGGTCCAGCCACACTTATTCATCTTGAGTCTCGATATATATAGCCTCATGCAAGACGTCCATTGGCTCCTCTTTCCTTAGTTGGTTACTTGGTAAATTAATGGACTTGCCTTGATATTTTTGAATTGCTTTCCTTCCATGTGGTTCCTTCTTATTCGAACTTAATGCCCCAATTAACTCAGGATCATTAAGATAACATATCATCATGCACAAGGAAATAAAATATTTGCTTATCACACACAAGCATGCAACGATCAATATTTAATTATGTATCAAAGTCCCATGGCAGTAAGATATTCATGCAATCAATTACTTAGCAAATATAGATATGCTCAGTCAACTTTCGAACCATGCAATTTATTCTAAAGTATCTTTCCTTTAACAAATATTTATTTAATATCTCCACTAAAGATAACTTTTTCAAACCAAAAGGGAGTACATAGCAAGTTACGGATATGAGAATATTTATGCAATCATTTGCAAGTCAAGCTACTTTAATGATCAAATTAAATATACAAAATGCTATGGTCAACATCCTCATATAAACCATGCACTCATAATATAGCAAGTAAAAATACTTTCCATAAAGTATTAAACTATATTTAAATGAGTGGATGTCAAGTCAAGTATGGAAAGAGAATAAGCACTCAAATAGGCACTCATATGCAAATTACGTATATCATATAATGGTCATGCAAAGAAGATATTATTGTTCAAAATAATATTCTTGACAAATATGAGCACTCACATAAGGAAAGCATATTAATAGGAAATCAAGTAGATGCACTCATATTAATTCAAGAGTGCACAAATTAAACAGGAACTAGAAATGATTCTGTATTAGTTCCACCTGCAAGGTTAGTTATCAACAAAACATATATGTCCGTTGTAGATATTTCCGGGTTAAGGTCTATGGTTTATCTTCCTTTCCTGCAATCACTTATAGACTAAAAATAACACTAGTTGTTTGTCATCAACAAAACAATATGTTCCAACAAATTCCCCCTTTTTGTTGATGACAAACACTTGGTGCCCTAAAGTTAGTTTCATAATGAATAAGCACAAAGTATCGAGCACAGAACACATAGGGCACATATTATTCCCCCTTTTGTCAACAACAAAACAATAAATAGCTTTAAAAATCAAGGCTTGTTCTTGAATACCCATTTGAGACCTATCATGGTCTTGTTCTTGGGTCTCGGCTCTAGATGTCATACTTTATTTCTCTCAAACTGATTTAGTTCTTCCTGCATGGCTAGAACCTAGTCAGTTCGGAGAGGTCCACTTCATGGTTCTCCGGTTAAATAAGTGATAAATAAGCAATGAAAGCACAAAATTTCTAATTTTAGATCTAGTAGTTACTCCCTGATTTAGGTAGTCAAGAGGTTATCCAAAGGATGTGATCGATGAAGTTTCCGTCCTCTAGGAGCATTTGAATGGTCTTCAATTTCATGTGAGTCGTCTGGAACTGGATCTGCCTGTTCTTCAGTCTGGTTGGCAGTGGATATCCTCAGTTCTTAGTACATTATCATCAGTTCCTGCTCCTATCTCCTTACGGCAGTTGGTTTCATGATTAGTTCCCCCTTGCTCATGGAATTGGTGCAATCTCCATGTTTAGAGCTTCTGCCCGTAAATTCTTTGCTAGATCACTAGAGATTAACATAGTTGTAGTCATATCCTTCAGTGTTCTACTCTTCCGTTCTACCAGCCCATTTTGTTGAGGCGTTCTAGGAGCGGAGAAGTTGTGGTCTAATCCTCGTTCTTGGCAGAATGTATCAAAGAGCGTATTGTCAAATTCGGTCCCATGATCCGAACAGATCTTAATTAATTGTTGCCCTATTTGATGCTCAACTTTCCTTACAGAAATAACAAACTCATTAAAAGTATCTTTCTTACTAGCAAGAAAGATAGTCCAATTATATTTTGAGAAATCATCAATAATTATAAGCACATATTCTTTATTAAAAATAACATTGTTACCTCCATCACAGAATTGAAAGATACTTAGCAAATTGAACTTATAACCTTGAAAAAAAAATCAATTAAATGGCTGGGTGATTTTCTGATTTTTCCCACGGCTACAATTTCTCCTTTGCCGTTGTCTCCAAATATCACCTTCCCACCATTAAATGGCCGAAGTGAGAGGAATAAAGATGAGTCTTCATTCATGTGCTTAGAACAACCACTGTCAAGGAACCAGTGATTGTTCCCCCTCACTTGGCGCTGTTCCTGAATCATGGGTTAGCACGTGGAACCCAGACTTGCTTGGGTTCCATTTTGTATTTGTTTGAGGATGGATATCGAACATAGTCAAAACATCTTTCTAAGGTCTTTTGTCGAGAGTGACATTGATACCGAAGATGCCCGATTTTGCCACAATGCATGCAAACTCGGTTGTCATAAGTATCAACGTATTTAGGTTTCCATTTACCATAAAAGCCTCTTGTTTTCTTATGAAAAGTTCGGTTTGGCGTTTGTCCATAACCGTTTTTGTGCCTCTGAACCAGTCTATCGAACCAGTTTGGTCCAGTTCTAGGTGGTTGTTGATATGGTCTAGAACTGGGTTGTCCTCTGGTTCTATTTCCATTAAAGGATCGGTTCTGAAAATCAGGTTTTTTATTAGGTTGAGTGTTCCTTGGAATATAACCGAGACCAGCAGTCTCGTTTTCCTTCTTATTGTGCCGAGGGGGACCAGTTCCAGAATAAGGTCTAGACCTGGTATTGTTCGTCGCACTATATGCTTGAGATTCCGGTCTATTTTTAAAATCTGTACACTCGGCAACAAGACGATGAAGATGATCAATCAAAGTACCAACGCTCGGAATTTTTGAGAGAAGTTTTTCATCATGATTAACTTGTTTGTTCATACTATCGAGCTTAAGAGAGCAAATGATTTGATCTTGTTCTAAAACCACTTCACTGTACTTAAGCCTTTCATCTATTAACTCTCCCACTTTTGTTTCAAGCCTTATCTTGGCTCTCGTGGCTTCCTCGAGTTTATACTCAAGCTCAGTGATTTGTGATTTAAGATGATCATTTTCAGAAATGTTTTGATTAAGCTCAATAGTCAATCTTTTGAAAATTTTCCGGGCTTTGGTTTTGGATAGAGAGTCAAACTTAGATAGAAAAATTTCAAAGTTTACCTCGAAGCTCTCTTGGTCGGATTCCTCGTCGGAGTGTGCCATAAGACATAGACCTGTATGGTTAGAGTTCTTATCACCCTCCTCTTCTTCGTCATCGGATGAGTCTCCCCAGGCTGCCATCATTGCCCTTTTGAGATCTCTTTTGAACCCTTTGTCTTTGCTGGACCTCCGGTTAGAACTGGACTTGTTCTTGTCGTAGATCCGGTCATTTTTCTTTTGTGAACAGTCTTTAGCCCTGTGCTCAAGGGAACCACAAACAAAACAGCCTTGGTTATTAAAAGATTGAAAGTTATTTTTACCTTGTTTGTTCCGGTTGTTCTTGAACCGTCGGTACATCTTCCCGAATTGTCTAGCAAATATGCTCATCTCATCTTCCAATTCACTTTCGGATTCTTCCTCCTCTTCTTGAGCTTTTAGAGCAATTCCTCTCTCTCGCCTTGCACTCTCGGCATCTTGTTCTTCTTGAAGACCTAGTTCATATGTCAAGAGTGATCCAGTCAAGTCTTCAAGCGTCATGGTGGATAGATCCTTTGCTTCTTCAATAGCCGTGGTCTTAGGCTTCCATACTTGGGGCAGACTTCTTAAAATTTTTCTTACTTGATCTTCCACTGTAATTTCTCTTCCAAGGGCTGAAAGCTCATTGATGATATTAGTAAAACGTGTAATCATATCCTTAATTGACTCTCCGGGCTTCATTACGAATAATTCGTAATTACGCATAAATATGTCAATTTTAGATTTTTTTACACGTGAGGTACCTTCATGAGTAACCTCGAGCAAATCCCACATTTGTTTTGCAGTCTTACATCCTAGAACTCGGTTGTGTTCAGCAGGACCAAGACCACAAATCAAGTATTTAAGAGCTTGGGCATTATGCTCGAGTTTTTGATAATCATTAGTAGTAAATTCAGCTTTAGGTTTAGGAACAATTTTACCTTCGCCGTTTAGCTTTGTGATGACGTTGTCGCCACCTTCTATCACATTCCATACCTGATAATTATCGGCTTTGATAAAGTTCTCCATTCGGCTTTTCCAAAATTGATAGAACTGGCCATTGAACATTGGAGGTCGTACGGTCGAATAACCTTCTTCAAGACGGTCAACCGTGTTCATTTTGCCGGATCTCTTCCCAAGGTATTAACCTCTATGTGGTGAAGACCGGCTCTGATACCAATTGATGAAAACGGTTAGCAACACAAGAGGGGGGGTGAATTGTGTGTGTGTGGAACCGTGGCAGTTTTTCGCACAGTTCTAGTGTGGGGAGATGGGAGTTGCGAAATAGTAAAGTGCACAAGGATTTAACGAGGAAAAATCCCTTGGCTCAAAGGGATTAAAAAACCTCGACCTCCCTCGGAGGAATTTTAACAACTTCACTAAATAGCCTTTGAATGATTACAAGGGAAACTCTCCTAGTCTACCCTTGAGCCACCCCAACTCTATCCTCTCTAGGAAGAGTTACGCTTCTCTACCTTGCGGGTAGAGAGTCTCTCAGCTTTACAACAAAGCTCTCACTCACACAAATCAACCCGAGGAGGCTGCTCTTAGCCAATCCTCAAAACCCCATTACAATACGAAGAAGGGAAAGAAGAAACTATATCTAGAACTCCGAGTGAGCAGTTTCAGGTGCCTTGAGCTTCAGTAATTCTTTTATGAATATATCTCTCAATGTCTATCTCGGTCCAGCCACACTTATTCATCTTGAGTCTCGATATATATAGCCTCATGCAAGACGTCCATTGGCTCCTCTTTCCTTAGTTGGTTACTTGGTAAATTAATGGACTTGCCTTGATATTTTTGAATTGCTTTCCTTCCATGTGGTTCCTTCTTATTCGAACTTAATGCCCCAATTAACTCAGGATCATTAAGATAACATATCATCATGCACAAGGAAATAAAATATTTGCTTATCACACACAAGCATGCAACGATCAATATTTAATTATGTATCAAAGTCCCATGGCAGTAAGATATTCATGCAATCAATTACTTAGCAAATATAGATATGCTCAGTCAACTTTCGAACCATGCAATTTATTCTAAAGTATCTTTCCTTTAACAAATATTTATTTAATATCTCCACTAAAGATAACTTTTTCAAACCAAAAGGGAGTACATAGCAAGTTACGGATATGAGAATATTTATGCAATCATTTGCAAGTCAAGCTACTTTAATGATCAAATTAAATATACAAAATGCTATGGTCAACATCCTCATATAAACCATGCACTCATAATATAGCAAGTAAAAATACTTTCCATAAAGTATTAAACTATATTTAAATGAGTGGATGTCAAGTCAAGTATGGAAAGAGAATAAGCACTCAAATAGGCACTCATATGCAAATTACGTATATCATATAATGGTCATGCAAAGAAGATATTATTGTTCAAAATAATATTCTTGACAAATATGAGCACTCACATAAGGAAAGCATATTAATAGGAAATCAAGTAGATGCACTCATATTAATTCAAGAGTGCACAAATTAAACAGGAACTAGAAATGATTCTGTATTAGTTCCACCTGCAAGGTTAGTTATCAACAAAACATATATGTCCGTTGTAGATATTTCCGGGTTAAGGTCTATGGTTTATCTTCCTTTCCTGCAATCACTTATAGACTAAAAATAACACTAGTTGTTTGTCATCAACAAAACAATATGTTCCAACACAATATTCAACATAACCATATCAAATTAAATTAATAAGTATTACTTTGAAAATCTACAAATAATTTAATAATCTCAACCACATCAAATTCAATCCAATCCAAACAAATATAACCCACTCAAATACTCCAATATAATGTAGTTCAATTCATCTCCATCAAGTCCAACCAAATAATCCAAATCATCTCAAGTTCAATCATTCAAACTCAACCAAATCCAATGGAAGCCGAACTCCTACCTTAAGTGTGCACACCCCCTAAAAGAGATTCCAAGCTCTCCGGGTAGTAAAAAGTCCGAGTAGTCGGGATTTTTCTACCGACTACTACAAATAAGCTGGGATACTCCACTTTTGGGAGATCCCTGGTGGAATTAGACTTATAGCCATTACCACTCACCAAATCCACATTTCTCCGAGTACTCACAAATCATAATTCAATCTCAAAGTTCCAATATCAAAATCTCAACCAAAATGGATATGAAATCCAAATTCCACCAAATTATTCATAACGAAACTATTAACTCCAACTCATCATACTCAAATATACCACAAATAGTCCAAAATATAGGATACTTCATAAATAGCTCAAATCTCAAATCTCAATCCAAGAACAATTCATATGAAAATTCAAATGCTCAAAATATCACCCAATATAAAATATTCAAATCTCAAATATATATAATTCACAATCACAATTGCTACGTAAAATCTCATTAACTATCATATACTCAAATGATCTCAAATAACTAGTCACAAATAAATTTATATGGGAAAAGCATGAAATTTGGTTGACATAGTACTTACCTCGAGTTGCAGTAAATCCTAACCGAAGCTTCTACCTCGATCTTCACCAAAATCACCTTCTAAGAATATTAAATTTTTTTTAATTAATAACTATCCCACTTTGCTAATCATTTTCCAGTTTTAAATTTTACTCCTTTTATGATTATTCATTTATTTCAATAATACTTTTTTTTTACTCCATGTAATTATCCCGATTTAAAAGTGACAGGTTCTCTAAACTTGAATATCATCAAGTTTTAGTACGTAGTATCATCAGGTTCTCTAAATTGATGATATTCAATTTATAACTTAGGAGAACTCTCAGAACTTTTAGTACGTAGTATTATTATTTTTACATTAATTTGTGTCAAAATTTATTTATCACTAAATGTCATCTTCTCCGTTCAGTCCGGTCTAAACTAAATTTAGGAGCAGTGCAGTTATAATAACATATCTAGCCCAGTGTGTTATTATTGATATTAATCATTCTGGTCAACTAAATCAACAGCCTAGTCCATAATAATTTCGGCCAGCTTGATAATCAGATTAATACCGAGTCCACCTATATTATCCAGCAACCCAGTTAGGTATTACGAAGTCGGCTCAGACTATTTTAAATGAAAGAGATCCAGCCCATGCAATAGTTATTAACGTACTACGTATATAATAGAGTAAGATAGACGTACGCTTCGTCATCTTCTCCGCAAAAACAGTTCTGGCGATGCAGGGAGTAGCGACAATACGAGCGACAATATGATGTCCTCCTCCTCCGCACAGAAGTTTCAGCGGACTCCGGCGAAAATAACGATGTCGTACTGTGGCAGGCGGCCGGCAGCTTCCTTCTTCCGTCCGGCAGACGAGTTTCCACTCCGGCGAGCTCCTCCTCCACGGTGACTGGTTGGGGGGTTGCTGTGACGTTCAGCGGCAGCAGTCAGGTCCTGTGGCAGAAACTCTAGCTTCTCCACTTCCTCTGGCGTGAACTAGTCCGGCGTACAACCAGGTCTTTTTCTCCGGCAAGGAGCGGCAATGCCGCCGAGGTCCTTTCGCCGGCGAACTTCCTCTCTTCCTTGCGACGGCCGACTCACACCCTCACTCTCACTCTCTTCCTCTCTTTCTTTTGTTTTTATTTTCTTTGCATGTCAATGGGTATAAGACGCATGTATATATAGGAGTCATCAGGAAGCTATACTTTAATTTCAGCCATATGACGTTTTAGTCAATTATTGTTTAAAGAGGTCGAGTATATTGCACCGACGCTTTTGATTCAACTTATTCGATCACCCATGTGAATTTGTAACCGGATGTGTAAATGCTTAGCTAATCAAACTTCTGTAATTTTTTTTTTGGCCTCATCCGATCATGCCCATGTCTATGTACATCGATTTCCTTTGTATCCTTCTCCTGTATTATTGCTATACATTATCACCTACTCATTATTATGCACCACACCTATATTTGTATATTTCATATTTTATTACTTAATATGTAAATGGGCAGGCGTAATCCTTGTGATGGTTTTGAACTTATCTATGGAGTATTATTATCAAATTAGAAAAGTCAACATTATTATTTTGTGTGGTATTTAGTACGTGTAGTAGTATATTTTTGTACACATATTAATCCATACTTTTGAATTAAAATTGCTAAAAGGTCACTTGTACTCCCTCTGTTCTTTAGTAAAAGTCCTTGATTTTTTTTTGGGACGTTTTTTTTTATTTGTCCTCCTTTCCATTTAAGGAAAGTTTTTACTTTAAATATACCTTTATACCCCCACTTTTATTACCATTACCCCTTTCTCTTTCCTACTTTTTCATTTACCCACTACTCATTACACCTTTTACGCTACCCCTACTATTTTCCTCTTAAAACCCGTGCCAAAGCCTAAGAGGACTTATATTAAAGAACGGAGGGAGTATTATTTATGTTATATGTATAGTTACCACTTGTTACAAAAATGTCACTTTTGTTATTTAAGTCAAAGTCTTATATGATCAATATAATTATTATTATAACATGTCACTTTTATTGTTGAAACATTTTTATTTGATTAATGTTATCACAATTGTTATTATTTATCTGATACACTTAATTATTAAAATGTGACTTTCATAATATTTTATCTGACTAGTAAAATTTATTTATTTTATTTAAATTTTTCGGGGTGTCACAATGTACCTCAAAGTCTTCGGACAAAACCTTTAGGAAAAGGGCCTTTCCATAAAGAGAATAAGGTCCCTCCACAAGAACTTTAGTGCGGTCTTCTTCACTTTGAAAGTGAAAAATCACCCAACCCTTATCATGTGATTTGAACTTGCAATGCACACCCCATTTGAGAGTGAGTGCTTGTATAGCGCGCATGGCCGGGAACCTACCTGCAAAAAAAACAACCAAACAAAAGCCCCAAATCTCAATGAGAGTGGGGAGCTTACGGTTTGAGAAGTCCACAATATCGCCTTTTGGTTCCACGTAGTCTAGCTTCATCCCATGAGAAAGGGACCCTATTGTCATGAAAGAGGTTGACCCACGGCTTCTTTACCCCAGGTTCCTCATGCTCTCCATGGTCCTCTTTGTAGCTAGAAGATATATCATCTGAACCATGGCTTTCAACTTCTTTACCCACAATGCCATCAACACCATCCAAGCCATCAACACCATCCAGGACATGAATATTTGAGCTAGGTAACTCATTGGCATCAGGAGCACCTGTAGAGACAACCGGTTGTTCAAAGGAAAACGCCTTTGAGGGCTCGGCATTAGAAGAAGCAGTTTCCCCTAAAAGTGGAACTACCGGATTGATAGTCATTTTAGGAGCCACTTTAGCAACATAAGGAGGTAACATCTTCTTGGTAGTTCCATCTTCTTTCTTCTTAAGTTCAAGCTCCAATTGCCTAGCTTGAAGCTTCTTGAATTTCTCCTCAAACTGCTGGTCTTTCAACGGAGGGGTACGAGACTGTTTATTTTTCCTCGTCATTGGGGAAGATGGTGAACAGTTCGGGCCTCAGTTGAACATGCTCAGAAAATTCCAAGAATACTCTCCATGATACCCCTAGTAATATGGAGCAGGCTAGTGAAATCCGTTTGGCAAACGGACTAGTACAGAGTTCAGAAAAAATTCCTAAGTAGTCTGGTGCGCAGGAATTACTGTAGGAGCCTGTGTTTCCAGCTTTGGGGAAGATGAACAGTAACTCGGTTTTTTCAAACAACTCGGAAAAATAGGAAAAATTCACAGAATGTTCTCCTTAGCAAGGAGATTCACACAGTATAATTATTTCTTTCAGCAAATGAACACGAATTCCAGAAAAAAATAAAACAGGAAACTGCCCTGCGTGCGAGCTACAGTACCCTAGAATTTGGGGAAAACTTGGATATTAGCTTGTAGGAGTCAAAAGAGGATTCCTTAGCTTCGTATGAACAAGGCGAGCTCCAATCTGGCTTCAGAAACTAATTTGACCAACAAGATCTTGAGAAATCTGAAGAAATAGAATCTGCTATGAACAGTACCCACGAACTCCAATTTCTTCGTTTCTTGAGTTTTCTGTGGAATCAGGCCTTGAAACAATCCTCAAAAATCAGATCGAGATTCAAAAATGAAATAGTCTGTAATTGTTTTTTTAATCCCTATGTTGTACTACGTATGAAATAGTTTGTAATTGTTTATATACACAGATATAAATATGTGGAACATGAACTTTTATTACTTATAACTTGCACTTCTAATGGAGTACCTAGGGACACGACACTTGGATAGTGCTCCAAGATCTCCATTATATATCGTTTGCATGTACTTATCATAGATGAAGTAAATGACTACAAGACATCAAATCATGACATCAATTTCATCGCCCGGACCATGTAAATGAACACCTCTCCTTTTTTAACTACAAAAAATGACGGGATTGACACAAATTTGGCACAGATTTACCGAAAATTTTGTGCCAAATAGCTCGTGTCGAACTATTTTTGGCACGAATTTGGCATATCACAACCAAAATCGCTGTCAATTTTTGGAAATCCTTGCCAAAAAACCCCGCAAATCATGTTTTTTTGTAGTGTATAGACAATCTATTAAAGAAACTCCAGTTGTCGTACAAGGAAACAACTCAAAAACTTAATTAACCTTAACAGTCTCTTGTTCCTTTTTCTTAACAGCACTTCTTGTGTATCTCCTTGGAGGAGCTTCAGTCTCTTGTTTCTTTTTCTTTTCTACTCACAGGCTGGATAGCATGCCCTTCCTCCAAGTCTTTCCCATCCACCTCTGGAGGTATAGAGGTAATGCAAGGGGAAATATTGGTTCTTTGCTTAGTTTGGTTATTAGATTCCAAGGCTATCCCTTCTTCATCTGGATGGATAGGTAGGGAAATATCTGAAATTTGCCCCACAGCTAGTTGCTTTTGATTGATAAAAAGCTCAGCTTTTAGTTTAAATTCCTCCCAGTTTTGCTTGAGATTTTGAAAAAATTGCTTTTTTCTTTTCTCATTATCAGAGTAATAGTCTTTACTAGCTAGTTCCTGATCAAATGCTAGTAGTTTGTAGAGCTCCTTCAGATATAGATCATCTTTGACTTGATCATTTATAGCTACTTCTTTTTCTTGAGAGTGATCTGCATTTTCCTGCTGGATAGTAGCATCATTTATGGCAGCTTCCTCATGGTTTTTTTTTATGTTTTGCAGGAGGGTCTTCTATGATGATTTCCTCATCAATTTCATCATCACTGTTATTCGCAAGGATGACTATATTCCTTGAAGTAGATTGAATCTCTGATTGATGTAGCACTATGGCCTGAGATGTGTTTTCAATAGCTTCCTCCCCCATTTTGCTCTTGCCTTTCTCTTGTGCTGAAAGTTTCCTAGTAGCTTCTTGTAATGCTCTTGGGGGTTTCTGTACCCATTTTTCTTTTGTTTGGGTTTTCTTAGGTTGTGATTCAATCCTAGCAGGATTGGAGTCCTTTGGAAGAATATCAGATTGGCTTTTAGGGCAAACGTGCTCATTATGGCCAAGATGTAGTCAAGACACACAATATTCTTGCCTGTTTTCGTATGTTAATGTCTGAGAAAAGCTGTATGATCCACAATTAATCCACACTCTAGGGGGCATCTCCTTGGTCAAGTCCAACTCCACACACACCCTAGCCACTGCCGGCCTGGCCAAAGTAGCTGTAGCTTGATCAATCTTGATTGCCTTCCCTATTAGACCTGCTATTTCGAAAAGGGCTCTCTTATCCTGAAGATGGATAGGGAGACCCTCCAATGCTAACCAAACAGGAACAATGGGAGATTCGACACTAGGCCTAAATTCCTGTGACCACTTTGTCACACGCATAGTACTTCCCTGAATGATCCAGGTCTGCCTATTCCAGCAACGCAAATAGTCATCTTCTAGATCAAATCTAATGAGAACATGTTTAGGATCCAAAAGACCTAACTGAAATTTCCCTTTAAAACCAATGATCTCAAAAGCTTTTCTCACAATAACAAGGCTGGGTCTACCTTTATAGAAATATCCAATAAGTGCTCGGTTATGTTTATCTGCCAGCGCTTGAACATCTCCCTCTTTAAACGAAATAGAAGGTTGTCCTTTAAAATGAGAATTTTCAGTTGAAAGGTTACCTTCTCGATTAGCAACGATATCTGCAAATGATTTCCCAATCCATGCTGGTGTGATCTGTTTCGGCGGCGGCAGAGTTGCCGCCGGAGGGTTTGCCGTCATTCCGCCTCAGTCTCCTCTCTCTACGTTACTAGAAGACATGTATCTTTCTTTCTATACCATGACAACTTTATATTTCATATATTTCATATATTTCATATGGTATTGCTGTATACGTCTATACAACAATATCATGCATCTAAAAATCGTATCATCATTGTATCACTTTAATGCAATGGTTTAACTCATTAAATATACTTTTTTTTGTTTCCACATTTTGCTCTATCTTCCCACATTAAGCTTGGTTTCACATAATCAATGAAGATAATTCCATTCTTCAAAATCATGAGAGTTTTATTCATGAAACATCATTGCACCACTTTCAAGGGTGAATGGATATCCACTATTATATTTTATGTCATGTGCATAAACTGAAATGACATCGTTGTATCCTGATAATACAACGGATAACTCTTAATAAAATATATAACATCATGGTATCATTATAATACAATGGATAACTCTCATATTACATCATTGTATTGCTCTAGTACAATGGGTATTTCTCAATAAACATATCATCGTTGTATTACTTTATTACCACGGGTAATCCCAATCAAATTTATGTCATAATTAATGGTACTAGACAAAGTACCCGTGCGATGCACGGGATATATCTAGAATTGAATAATGATTTAATTAAAATTACTCCCTCTGTCCCATAAAATTCTTCCCACTTTGACTTAACACGGAGATTAAGAAAGTGGAAATGTGTGGTTGTGGTTGTGTAAGAAAAAGGTGAAATGAATGTGAACCGCATAAATTGTCCAAAAAAGGAAAGTGAGAAGAATTTTTTGGGACGGCACAAAAAGGAAAGTGGGAAGAATTTTATGGGACGAAGGTAGTATGTTTTTTTATGGTACATAATGTGTAATTTTATCAAATAAAAATACGGTAAAGTTTATGTGTTGTTACTTTTATTAATTATATATGTAGTAGTAGTTGTAATAAAGTAAAAAGTTGGATCATAAAAAAATTTAAGTAAAATTAAAATACTCCGTAAATGATAAAGTATAACCAATAACTCTAATTGACAATGAAATAACTTGATAGTACAATAATTATAAGTGGGTCTCATGAAACTTTTGTTGTTGTATGTCTTGCATATTTAGTATAAGTTCTTTTAAATGCTAACATATACTCCCTCCGTCCCGCTATGATTGTCCCATTTTACCATTTCGGTCCGTCCCACTAAGATTGTCCCATATCTTATTTGGTAAAGTTTGTGTGGTTCTAAATCATTCTCACTTTATTTTTACTTTATCAATTCAATATCAACCACATAAACTCACTTTTATTAATAACCTACCGTGTCACCTTCTCTTGTCCCAAACTTAGAGGGACGGAGGTAGTAATTCGCCAGAAGATGCCGTGATTAGCGGTTGGCAGGAATGAATACTCTCTACGTATTTTAAAAATGACTACATATTACTTTGGGACATCATTTAAGGAGGAAAGTAGTAGGGGTAATGAATAGTGTAGAAAAAGTAAGAGAAAGCGTGTTAACTTATGAAAAAGAAGATAAAAATATAAAAAGTGAGGTAATTCAGTACTTTTAATTGAAAACTTACTAAAAAGGAAAGTGTATCAAACTTTTAAATACATTTTAAAAAACAGTGTAACAAACTTTAAAATACCGATACAGTACCTATACAGAAAGTACAACGACAAAAGTTTCATGAGACACATATTGTACTATCAAGTTAAATCATTGTCATATAGAGTTATTGTTATACTTTATTGTTTATTTAAGATAAAATCTCATTACTATTTTGGTCTTCATCTTGTTCTTTTATAAAAATAAAGATAATAAGAAATATTATTATTGATAATTAATACTATAATTGTAAATTGATGACTAAATTATAGGGAAATTGCTCAGAAGTAAATATGTTTTGGAATTTCAAAATATGACTATTTTGCATGTCTTTCTTTCCGAAATAGGTGTTGTTATTGTCATGATTGAAAAATACTGTCATTAATGGCAGTAAGTAATGACATGTCAATGCTTAATTTTGTAACTATTTTGACAGTAATGAGTCAAAGATGATAGTAAATACTCATATTTTGGAAAGAATAACATCATATTTTGAAATTTCAAAACATGCTTGCTCCTTTGTTGGGAATCTTCTCCTAATTTATATTTCTTTCGCCTCACTCAACATTGCCAGCTTTTCTTTTTCGTTTGTCTCAAAAACTTAGTAACTTTCCTTTTAAAGAATGAATTTGTGGTTCAACTTGTTTCTCTCTCCTGTGCACAGACCTCAATATCAGAACTTTTACTTTTCTTATTTCTCACATATTTTGAAGTTGGCAAAGTCTACCGTAGCAGAGATAATATACTATCTCTGTCCCATAAATTTCTTTTCACTTGCCTCTTTGGGATGTTCCAAAAAATTCTTCCTATTTTAACATAACGATTGAGAGAAAAGATTTCTTACCAAAGTTTATCTACACCTTTTTCCTTTCACATTATCACTATTAATGGGAGAGAAATTTCGATAGAAGGAAAAACTCTTCATCCATATTAGGACTCTTACATTGTTTTAGAATGAGCATAATAGATCATCTTATAACTTTCATGTTCTTATTTAATGTGTAATTAGTTACGAAAGTTAGAAATATCATATTAATTGCTCTTAAAATTGCTATTATTATATTTATTCTACATGAGACAAAAAGTACTCTCTTTGTCCCGCTTAGATTGTCTCATTTTTCCTTAAAAATTGCACTAAGATTGTTCAATACCAAATTTGATCAAATTTGAGTGATTCTAAATCACTCTTACTTTATCAGTTCTATATCAACCACATAAACTCATTTTTCTTAAGTGTCACATTCTCTTGTCTCAATATTAGTGGGGTGAAGGTAATACCAAATTAGGAATTTTTGACATAATATTATATTATTATTATTATTATTATATATACACACCATATATATATATATATATATATATATATATATAATAAAAGTTATTGGGTATAAATAAACTAAAGCAATACGTAGTATTCTAATATCTACATTTACTAAGG